GGGTGGGTATGTTGCTATATATACAGACAAGTATATGTGTAGTTGTGATAGCAGCGCTCTAATAACATGGGGGATGGGAGAACATAATATACCTGCAGAAAAAATGATAGGAATGTGTGAGGTAAGAACCGTGGGCTGGTTGAATGATTTCCACTCTAATAGGTCTGCCACTCACTATATGTGTTTCCCCCATTTACTGAGAACAGCAGTTTCGTCGTTTCAATTTTCAAACTTCATCAGATTTGGCCTGAAGAAAAATGGGATTTTCTTTTGTTTAGCTCGATAAAAAGCTGTTCATTCAAGGTCTTTGATGTTTGTGAAGAATATTTGAAGCATCTCAAATATTTTCAAAAGAAATAAAGAGGGGGCTTAACATAGCCGGGACCTTTTCGCTTTAATAAAGGCTCCCTGCTGAAAGAGAGATGAGCACATGGTGAAAAAAAGCAGGCTGGATGGTTCTCTGTAAACTGGTGAACTGGTTCTGTCAACACAACCATCTGAATGTGTGTGTCTGCGTGTGTTCCCTCTGCATGCATGCATTCACAAATTGGCCATGCCATGTATTTCTTCAGTATCTTCCCCGGGGGCTTCTGGGATCTCATTTATTGTGGGGAAGAAAAAAGGTTCATTGGTTCTGGTTTGCCATTTAAGCTTGACTGATTCCAGAGTTTCCATGAAGAGAGAGAGAGAGAGAGAGAACATGCAGGAGGGGAACATCTGGAGACAGAAACAGAGTGCCTTTTTGCCATCCTCCAGCCCAAAAATGGAATATATAATAATGCGAGGAGATAAAAAAAGAGAAAAGCTTCAGAAATACAAACATAAGTTGTGGAAATCTAACTTTAGATCACAGCCTGCTTAAGAAAACAAGCCTCAAACACAAACGCTTTGAATGGAAATTGAAAACGCTTTATCTCTGAGGTTGCTTGCTCACAGCGTTTGGAATAAATTATATTTATAGCCTGCATTTGTGTGTGTTCAGTAACTTGTTTTTACATTGGAAGTTCAATATCCTCGTAATGAAATGTTTCTCATTTTCAGCATCAGTGGGCGCTGCTGCTGTGTGCATCTCTCTGTCCTCCTTTC